GGGCCCGACGGACTGCCTTACCGAGCATGGGTACGATCAGAAGGCAGCATCGAGATCCTCCACACACTCCTCCACTCTATCGCTCACTGTGGAACGATCCCACACGACCTGAACTACGCGCTCATGGCCATGCTCCCCAAGGGTGATGAGCCCATGGGCAACTACGAGTGCTCTCGCAGTCCTGACTGTCTACGCCCCCTCGCCATGAAGAACAGTGACATCAAGATCATCGCCTCCGCGACGAACCGCATCCTCAGCTCCGTGACGTCGGACACCGAGGAAGAACAACAAGGTTTTGTCAGTGGCCGTCAATTTCCCTCCAACATTGTCAAGGTGGACACCATCGCCCGTATTACCAGCATCAACAGCGAAGCCCCCAGCATGATGCCCTGCTTCGCCAGCATGGACATTGCCGCAGCGTTTCCAAGCCTCACGCACGCGTGGTTGTGGGCGACTCTAAGGCGGTGGGGCATCCACGGCGTCTTTCTCAATCTCCTGCAGCGCTGCTACAACATGCCACTTGCCTTCCTCGACCTAGGTGGTACTCGTCGACCGCTACGTCTAGCAGAATCTGGGGTTGCGCAAGGATGTCCCTTGAGCGGCACGCTCTGGGCGCTAGTCTTCGATCCCATCATCAAGGGCCTCAAGATGGAACTTACTGCTCTGGGTAGAGGCCTGCTCAGCGCATGCGCCGACGACCTGGGCATCGTTCTTGCTGCGCTTCGGGATCTTGGCGCTCTACTGCCACACCTGCAAGCTGCACAACATTACGCTGGACTCCGCATCCAACCGAAGAAATGCGTCCTCGTGCCCACCTGGCCCCTGCCAACGCCCGAGATCACCGCGAGCATGCGCGCCATCCTGACCCAGCTCTACGAGCCGTGGCAAGACTTCTCCATCAATAGCGTTGCGCGCTACCTCGGCGCGCACATCGGCCCTGGTGCTTCTCTCGACCGTCAATGGCAAGGTCCTGCCAACAAGTGGTGGGAGCGTATCCAGATCCTGTGCGACTCCTACGCTCCCATCCAGCAGCGCATCAAGATGTACAACTCCGCTGCCATCACATGCCTCTCGTACGCCGGCCAGCTCTACCCGCCTTCCCCAGCATTCCTGTCCAAGGAGATTCACGGGCTCCACAAGCTGATCCGTGCTGCCCCATCGAGCTTCACGAAGATGGACATCCTGTCGTTCACGCTATGGGCGTCCGCCACGATCCCGCAGGGTATTGAAACGCTTCTCGCAGCAACGATGTGGCGCGCCTCCACGACCACCATCTCTGGCTGGCAGCCTCTGCTTCACACATTCCGTGCTCATGCTGAAGAACTCCTCCCGCTACGAGATGTAGTGGTTGGCAAATGGTCTGCTTCATGCTGGATTGACGCCACTTCCATCGTGCAGCGATTCGACGACATACATCACAACAAGCTGATCGCGACGGGCAAAGGATCCATCTTCAAGGTTCTCACGCGATCCACAGGATCTACGGTGAATGCCGCCCAGATACTTCAACGAGCACATGCGCAAGCTGCTGCTGCTGGACGACACGCTATCATGGCATCCCGTCGTAACAAGGCGGAGGATCTGTACACACACAGTCGTGACAGGACTGGAGCCCACCAGGCACCACGCCGTGACAGGGCTGGTGACCTTCACACGCCCAGTCGTGACAGGACTGGCGGATCTCATCAGAGACAAGCTGGATTCATAGATTCGAATGATGCTACTTCGAGTGCCACTTCACGCACCTCTCCACAACAAGCATACCTACGGGAACTACAACGCCAGCTGTACCGCGACTCCCTCCACAAGACTATCCATCACCGTCTCCGCGCCTGGTTCCCACTACTTCCTGTTGAAAGTGGACCTCAGATGGCACCTGCTACGACCGAGCAGCCGAATGGGAACGACAACCATGACTCCATGAAGTACCTGAATGAACGTGCAGAAGCATGGGCAGCAAGATGGATCCCCAGCGTGTTCTTCGGCCGCGTTATGGACAACTTCAACGACTGGATGGACTGGTGCGTCCCGTACATCAGCTGTTCTACACCGCACCCAGTTCAATGCGCACTTCTGCCTCGATGACCAGTACGGAACAGCCAGTGCTCGCCGTGACATGGCGAAGGAGATATGTTACGGTGCATGGCATCGGGCTGAACGGCTTCGCAACCACCGCCTACAGATCTACGCCACCGAGCACATGCCGACCAACACTCATCGAGAATTTGCCGATAAAGCTGCTGAACACCGCGCCCGCCGTCGCTGGATCGAACGGGAACGCGCCACCAACCCGAACATCCCGCAGGAAGACGACGGCACTCAGTCTACCACTACAGCCACCTCCACACCTCACATCTACTCCGCCAATGACATCATGATGGACTCCGATACATCCGGCCGTGACGGATTGCTTGGCCGAGCTGCTCTCTCTGCGAGTGTTGAGCACGTCTGGCGCGACCTGCGGACTCACCTGGCGGACTCCACGGCCTCGCTCTTCTGGCCCGCGGTCAAGACCTTGTCTGGAGCGTGGGCGACGTCGCACCGCATGCATGTCAATCCCCACAAGAAGAACTGCCTGCTCGGCTGCGACAAAGACTCGCAGGTCAAGAGCACGGACGACATCAACCACTACATTACATGTCCGCGAATGTGGGCGCTGGTGGCTCAACCTCGGGGTCAACCTGCTGGTGATGCCCTCACGCGGCTCGGACTCCACGAGAGCGACAACATCGACGACCACCCGAAGCACACCATCACACGCAAGGCTGTGGCCTTCCGCACGTACAACATCATGCGGGCGCGCACCGAGCTGGGCACGCCCGCCATCCACGACGAGCTCAAGTACCACAAGGAGGTGGTCGCAGCCGCCCGCCGCGTCCTGAGGTTGCCACGGTGCCTCGTGGGCGGCGCGGGCCCGCTGCGCCTCTAACCCGCGGACACGCGCCCCCTTCAGCGCGCCGTTCGTTCCTCCAGGGCTTGCGCGGGCTCGCACGCAGTAACTGGCGCGGAGGGACCAGCGGGTTCGCGACGTGCGTGGGTTGTTTTACTTGTTGGTTTTATTGCCACGGTGCTGGGGGGATGATTTGTTTCCCCACCACTGGGGGCGGAAATGTTGGCGCTTGTAACTGTTAAATGTGCCTATGGTTGGCCTCGTTGTGTGTGTGTGTGTCTGTGCCTGTGCCTGTGTCTGTGTGTGTGTCTGTGTCTGTGTCTGTGCCTGTGCCTGTGCCTGTGTCTGTGTCTGTGTCTTTGTCTGCGTCTGTGTGTGTTGTGTGGTGTGTGTGTTGTGTATGCGTGGGTTTGCGTGCGTGTGCGTGTGCGTGCGTGTGCGTGCGTGCCCGTGCGTGCTCGTGCGTGCGCGTGCGTGCGCGGGCGTGCAGGTGCGGGTGCGCGTGCGTGCGCGGGTGCGTGTGCGGCTGCGTGTGCGGCTGCGTGGGCGGCGTGCGCGTGCGTGCGCGTGCGTGCGCGTGTGCGTGCGCGTGTGCGTTCGCGTGCGCGTGCGCGCGTGCGCGTGTCTGTGTGTGTGTGTGCGTGCGTGCGTGTTGTGTGTTGTGTGTGTTGTGTGTTATGTGTTGTGTGTTGTGTGTTATGTGGCGTGCGTTGTGTGTTATGTGTTATGTGTTATGTGTGTTGTGTGTTGTGTATTATGTGCTATGTGGTGTCTACTGTATTACGTGTTATGTGGTTTGTGTTATGTGTTGTGTGTTGTGTGGTATGTCTTGTGTTGTGTGTGGTGTGTGATGTGTGCTGTGTGTTGTGTGGTGTGTGTGTGCGTGTTGTGTTGTGTGTTGTGTTGTGTGGTGTGTGCTGTGTGTTGTGTTGTGTGTGGTGTGTGTTGTATGGTGTGTGGTGTGTGGTGTGTGTTGTGTAGTGTGTGGTGTGTGGTGTGTGCTGTGTGTTATGTGGTATGATTTCTGTGTTGTGTGGCATGTGTTATGTGGCATGTGCTATGTGTTGCGCATTATGAATTGTGTGATGTGTGTTGTGTGTTATGTGGTGTGTGTTGTGGGCTGTGTGCTTTGGGGTGTGCAGTGTGTTGTGTGGTGTTTGCTGCGTGTTGTGTGGGTTGTGTTATGTGTTATGTAGTATGTAGTGTGTAGTATCTGCTTTGTGTTATGTGTTATGTATTGTGTGCTGTGCTGTGTGGTCTGTGTTGTGTGCTGTGTGGTGTGTGTGTGTGTTGTGTGCTGTCTGCGTGTTGTGTGGTGTGTTTTGTGTGTTGTGTGGTCTATGTTATGTGGTATGTGGCATGTGTGCTGTCGTCTGTGTTCTGTGTTCGGTGATCTGTATTATGTGGTGTGTGGTGTGTGGTGTGTGTTGTGTGATGTGTGTGTTGTGTGGTGGGTGTGTGTTGTGTGTTGTGTGTTGTGTGTTCGGGATCGCCCTCTTAAAGGGCAGTGGGCTTCATTCATTCGTGTGTTGGTTTTGCTGTTCGGCTCTCGGATCGGCGTCCTTCCGTTGCCCGCCCGTCGTTTGTTAGCCAGCGTCGTTGTTTACGTATCTTGATCCTCCTCATAACCCTCCGCCTCTTGCAAAGGTGACGGGGTGCCCAGGTCGGCTTCCAGAGGGCTTGTCCCGACAGCGGAATCGACGGACGACGAGGAGGAGCAGGAGCAGCGGCAGACGAAGAGGAGAGCAGGAGGAGGAGGAGCAGGAGGAGCAGGAGGAGGAGGAGGAGGAGGAGGAGGAGGGCGGCAGGATGGGCAGGAGTGAAGCTTCCAAAGTGTGAGAATTCGGTGGACGTGTGTTAAGGTAGCAGGAGCAGGGAACACGGCTAGCAAGAGGAGGAGGATTGAGAGGAGGAGGAGGAGGAGGAGGATCAGGAGGATCAGGAGGAGCAGGAGGAGCAGGATCGGATGAGCGGGATTGGGAGGAGGAGCATCAGCTGCAGCGTCAGGAGGAGAGGGAGGAAGAGGATGGGAGCAGGAAGACGAGAGGGAGAAGGAGGAGGCCCGAAGAAGAGGAAGAGGACGAGGAGGAGGCGGAGGAGGAGGCCCAAGGAGCACGCGGGCGAGCTCGTGCGAGCCGAGCAGCTGCAGCGGAGGGTCGTCGAGGCGAGGATGCGCGTGCTCGGTCGGGACCACCTGGACACGGTCCGATCGGTGACCAGGGCAGCCATCATCACAGGGGCATGGCGTGATATTCGACCGCATGTATTCGAATGTGTTCGCCCCCTCCAGATCCTCAGAACCCGCCCTCCTCCTCCTCCTCCTCCACCTCCTGTTCCTCCTCCTCCTCCTCCTCCTCCTTCTGTTCCTCCTCATCCTCCTCCTCCTCCTCCTCCTCCTCCTTCTCCTCCTCCTCGTCCTTCTCCTCATCCTCCTCACCATCATTCGATCGAGGGGCGTGCCAAATACCTCGGGATCTTCCTCAGCCCGTCGGCCTCACTGGCCGACCAATGGCACGCCCCTGGGCAGAAATGGTGACAGCGCGCTCATTCGCTTCAGCATGTGCACTCTGGAAGCGACGCCACGTTTCGTCTCTACAACACGTTAGCGCTCTTTACTTTTAAGCTATGTGAGCCAGTTCTTCCTTGTCCCCGCAATCATTGTATACCGCGAGCATCACATGTTCCACTAGATGCTAGGTCTGCAGCCGAGTACATTCCGCAAGGTAGACCTCCTCGCGATGGCGGGTTGGTCTCCACGGCCAGTGATCCGATCGCTGCAGGTCATGCATATCGCAGCTGCCACCCGTTCTGCGTCTCACACGTTGGCAGAGCTTTGGGAACCCCACTTCGCCCACCTCCGCGACACGGCATGGGAGGAAAGCGCAGTTCACTCTTTCCATCGCTGGTCGGACGGACTGTGGTCTCCCAGCTTCTGGTAGCAACCGCGCGCCACTGTGCAGTACTACGCCCAGCTGCGAGACGCGCAGCGCACACCCCCACTCACGCCAGCCGTGATGCAAGAAGCTCACCGCGCGGCGCTGGCGGACAAGGCTTGGGCCTTGGACGCCCATCCGCCGCGCCGCCACCATTTGCAGCGCGCCTTTGCTGCATCTCTCTTCGCAAGGCTGCGTTCGCATCGCCCTTCACTGCCACCCTCACACAGCGGGTCGGCGCGTGGGGCCTACGTATCGCACCTGCTCTGCTGGCCGAGTGGTGGGAGCCGCTCGCCGGTGCACTGCGCAGCTTTCGCCCGAGCTGGTGCTTGGCGACGCTCAAGGCCCTGGCTTAGGGGAACAAGAAGTGACATAGACATAAAAACTCGGAGGTCCGCGCGGATTTCTCGGATCGGCGCTGCGGCCCCCCGGCGGCACCTCCGGCGCCGCCCCTGGCGCGCTCCGCGCGCCAGGGAGGGGCGTCCAGCGCCGATCCGAGAAATCCGCGCGGACCTCCGAGTTTTATGTCTATGTCACGTTTTGTTCCCCTTTGGCTGGCGGGTGGACGACCACCGCCCGCATGCACGTGCTCGTGCCCCGCAGCTGTGTGTTCGGCTGCCACGAGCAGCCAGGTTCATTCCCCCACTACCTCTCCCGTCCTCGTCTCCTGAGCCTCCTCTGGTCCCCCGACCCTCTACACCTCCTCAGTACATTGACGCGCTGAGGGCTGGGTCCCACAGCAGCCTACCCGTCTGCGCCGAGCGAGTTGTCGCTCCTGGCCACCATCCGACGCATCGTCCTTGCGTTCCATCTTTACAACAAGTACAGAACGGCCACGGCCAGCCAGCCGAACGCACTGCTGGCTGCTGCCGGCGCTCTCGTCGTGCGCTAGCCATATTCCCCGCCTAGCGCACGGCGGTTGTGCCCCAGTAGACCCGTTCGCCTCAGGCTACCCGCACTCCTCTTCCTCCTCCTCCTCCTCCTCCTCCTCCTCCTCCTCCTCCTCATCATCATCATCATCATCATGTCGCTCCTCCCTCCTCCTCCGCCTCTTCCTCCTCACACGGGCCTGTCTTAGCTGTAGTGACCAGTTTCTCAAGGAGCATCAGGGTGCAGAGCCGTTTGCCCAGTCGCCACCAGCGATTGCCCAGCCAGGTGCGCGGCCACACCATACATTTCTTCCCGTATTGTTTCTTATCATGACCCGTCGCGCCGTGAAGCGTTCTGCTCGCGCCAACGACTCTCCTCCGACATGGTGTTGTCGCAGCGATGGCGATTGCGCACTGCGTCCGTAGCCTCGGCGGGGTAATTGCTAAGCGAATTCCACACGAGCCGGCGGGGGCATTGAAGAGATAGGCGCGGAGGAGGGGGAAGAACGGCGGCGAACTCGGGATTGCATCACATATCGCGCACAACGAGAGTGCAGAAACCCACTGTGTGTGTGTTTGTGTTTGTGTGTGTGTTTGTGTTTGTGTTTGTGTGTGTGTTTTTGTGTGTGTGTGGGTGTGTGGGTGTGTGGGTGTGTGGGTGTGTGGGTGTGTGGGTGTGTGGGTGGGTGGGTGGGTGGGTGGGGGGGGGGGGGGCACTCTGGCAGGCACATTCCGCATGTTCGTTCCTCTATTTCCCGCTTCCTCTTCTCTGCATTGTCTCATTGAATTTATTCCCTATTCGTAGGTCGCTCCAGCTTTGCCACCCAGCCAGCCGATTTCGCGTCAACCCGGGGCTGTTCCACGCCACCCTCCACGTGAGACAATAATACAAAGTTTATGTTCATGCTATCAACGTGAAAGGTTCGGCTTCAACTCTGCAACACGCATGGCGGGCATGGGACGGGGCGCACATCCCGCTCGCTGTGGATAAATGTCGCTCTCGCCTCGGCATCGTGTTACTTTTTCTTGAGGGTTGAGTTCCCGCTTGTCGCCGTGCATTTGTCTCCGCTCGCCAAGTCGCCGACGCGCGAGTGGACGAACAGGTGGCCCTCGCCTCGGAGCCTCGGCGCCGCGCAGATTTCGCAAGAACGTGGCGGCCCCGCCCCGGCGCAGCGCATGTTCTTCACTCGCCATTCGCGGTGGTGGGGGCGGGTTGGAGTTCTTCCATTTCCCCTCAGACATGGGGCTGTTTACAAACAGCCACAACGAGCAGAAACTAAGACCCAATCTTTTTTCGAAACACGAAAGGCGCAGGGAGCATGAATCAACTAACAGACAGAAACGTGAAAGAAGCGCCTGGCCTGGTGACCGCCGCCTGAGGGAAGGGGAGGGAGGGCCGCCGATGCTTCCGCCCGCCACAACCGCGGGGACAACCAACCAGTGGGAGACGGAAGGACCGCGCGGGGGACCTCAACCGGTGAACTTCATCGGGGCCGCACCATCGGGGGCGGAGGCGGAGTCGGGGATCGGACTCTCGAGGATGATGATCCCGAGCTCGCACGCTTTGCTCTAGAGGCAGACGCGCGCCCGTGGGTCCGCGTGGCAGGAGCGGGTGACCCACACCGTCTTGGCCGTGCACTGGGGCTGCGTCAGCCACCAGTCTGCCATGCCCAGGGACGGGCCTGCCGAGAGTCTGGCCCGGTCGGCGTCGAAACGCGGGCATTCCGCCCACCAGTGGCGGGCCGAAGCGCGGGCGAACCCGCAGTACGGGCAGCGTTGCCATTCTGGCGTTCGCCAGCGTCGCGTAGGTATCCACGTCGCCCCAGCCTTCCACACCCGCATCAGGAATCTGCGGAGGGGTGACAGCCTGGCCTTCCAATCCCCCCAGGCAGCGCGCGAGGACGTCTCAACATCGATGTCGTCCAAGCTTTCCTCTGGGGGGAGTCCGAGAGACCATTGGCAGCCCTAAGGGATTGGAAGGCCGTGGCAAACCCAGGGTGAAGGGTCGCGTGGTTGGCCCAAAAGCGCCGCGCGCACCACCAAGTAGTCCGAGCCTTGGTCAGGCTGCCGAAGAGGGTGGTCACCACGTTGTGTGGAGGCACGCCCACGAAAGGTGCGGCACAAATCCATTTGCTAAGGATCCACGAGGCAGCGTGGAAACCAGCGTCCGCTGGGAGCACCCTGAGGCGCCCGGCGGCAAAAAGGACTGGGTCCCAACCATCCCTCGGGGTTGGGAGCTACGGGTCACACGTCGCCGGGGCGGCCACGATGCCAAGATGCTCGCAGACACCCTCACCCTACCATCACACAGCCTTCACTCGCCAAGTTGTTGGGCACGTGGGCGGGCGACTTGCCGCCCTCGCCCAAGCTCCTCGCAAATTTCGCGTGAGAGAGGCGTTCCCGCGTGGGCGCGGCGCGTGTGTCGCTCGCCAGATCGCATGGCAGCGGCAGCGGCAGCGGTGCCGGGCGAGAGCGGATGAAATGGTGTCCTCGCCGAAGCGACGCGCAGTTCGTGCGTTGACGGTGGCATTGCTGCTTCGGCGATGCGCATGCTCCGTCTGTGGCGAAGAATTTGCCCGCTCGTGACTGAGAGGGCTCAACGGTACTCGCGCCGCGGCGCCACGCACGGGTTCTCTGAAGTTTTGGTCCCGCCCCTGCGCGGCCCGCGTAGTTGTCCCTTCGCCAAGCCGTCGAAATCGGGCCCGCGTGCCAACGCCCTTTACTCGCCAGGCGGGAGCACGATTCAATTCAAACACCCAGTCGTGCCACAATTGTTCTTATCTTGTGTGAGGCAGGGTTGGTATGGGCGGGGGCCGCTGACTAATTCGACCTGGCTGACTTGGAATGCCTCACGTCATTTCTCGTATTCCTCGGTCGCCCGCGTTCCTCATTCACACGCTTCCTGACCACAGAGCTGAGCATCCCTTTAATCCTCGGTTTCGTTCCTCTTCCAGCGCCCGCTTCCGTTGCGGAGGCGGGCATCGTTATCAATCAGATCCTCCGCCTCTTCGCCCACCTCATCACAATCATCCTCTTGCGCAAGCAGGAGGAAGGAAGGAGGAGGATGATGAGGAGGAGGAGGAGGGGAGGAGGAGGAGGAGGACGCCTCGTTCCCTTCTCCCGCTCCCCCTTCCTGTTCCCCTCCTCCCCTGCCTTCCCCTTCTCCTCCCCCTCCTCCCCCTCATCCCCCTCCTATCCATCCTCCTCCCCCCCCTCCCCATGCTCCATCCCTTCCCCTGGCGAATAACTCCTCTCTGTCGCCCTCCCCCCCCCCCCGGCATGTCCGTAGGGTGGGCTGGGCGAATCGCAGAAGACTTCGTCATCATTTGAGATCTTGAAATTTGAAATGCACAAAAGCTTCACGGGTGGAGCGCGGGTCGTTTTCAAATTGCGGTTCTTCGTGTATCGCC